CGACTTTGCAATATCGATTACAAAAATTCGATGCAAGTAAAATCGAACTACTCTCGTAGTGTAGACAAGGCCTGAGGCAGCAACTGCTACACCTTTTAAAAGGGTATTGTGCACACTCCTGGCAGTGATGGACTCTAGTCGCTAACCAGTGGGTACAGGAAAGGCCATGCCCTTTCCCTTGCTATGTCCCCTTTGGGATGTCTAGCACTTCTGATGGCACTTACATTCCCTCCCCCTCCCCAATCCCATATGCTCAGTATCAAGATTCTGACTGTTCCCTGGGCAGGTATTTAAGAGAGGAACAGTTTCTGTCTCCTTCCCCCTGTTGAGCACTGACACATAAGGGTGTCTGGCTCTGTACCTAGGCTAGAACATGTCGGGGGGAGGGGGGGCGATTTAAAACATGGTTTGGCCCTGTCACTGGCTGGCCAAATTGTGTTAGAAACCAAATAGGTTGAAACTTTGTTCAAGATTGTTCCTCAATTTGGTATGAAGCCTGATGTATGTGGGTCCTAAGTCAACCAAAATAGGAACTGGATAAAGAGCAAGATGACTTCATTGAAAATCAAGTGCTGAAGCTGAGCTGAGGTGAGCTTCCCAGACTAAACCCTGAAAAAAACTCTCTTGAAAGTTTCCCAGTCTAGACAACAATCAGCAGAAAATTCAGCTTTCTTGTTTAATTAGCGGACTTGGGGCCTCCTCCTGATTGTCAAATCATTTGGGGGAGGTGAACATTGCTGAAAACACAATGGCACACCAGGCTGTTCGCCAGTCTTAACAGGGAGACAATTCCTCACACTCTAAACTGAGCTACGGATGCAAAGGTGTCTAGGCAGGAAAGGTATGTTCAGATCAGCCCTCTAATCCAGTCTTCTGAAGATGTGAATTGGAGTTTTGCATGCCTGAATGAGGGCAGAATTTTATCCCAAAAGATAGCCACAGAAACAACAGGCTTGATTCTCTCTTACTCAGATATTATCAGGAGGAACTCCACTGAAGTCAAAGTAAGAGAAATCAGGCCCAGTATGTCCACCAATGTCACCAGAGCCAACAGTAAAGACATTCACAAAGTGAGCCGTTGGAGCAACCCATACGCCATGACTACTAGGAAAAAAAATACTTTCTAGACCATGGTTGTGCAGCTACAGGGTACTTGAAAACGAAAGATGACACACCAGCACCAAATCTGCCCCAATTCAAATCAATGCTCTTTTCAAAACAGAAAATATGTATTTGTAGATTGAAACAATTTCAGATCATTGAAAATGACTCATTCATGGTTAAAAATGACCAATCAAGATGTAATCAAGTGGTGATGCTGCTAATCAAATAGATAATGATTTAAAAAACAAGAGGAAGTTGCAGATGATCTTTCATATAGTAAATTACATGGGACTTGAAACGGTGTAAATTCAGACCTCGCTATTTTATTCCACTCTGTTATATTGAATCTACTGTTCTACTTAACTCAATTTTGTGTTTTTAGTGGTCTGTCAAAAGCTCAGTCAGGGCCCACTTTATTTATATTTTTAATTAGTCTAATACGCTCACCTACAACTTTCCATTGTTGCTTTTTATTTGAATTTTATAATTAACTGTGAAAATTCCTACATGCTGATCATATTTTTTGCATGGTGTCTGTGTGCCTTTGTAATGTTGAGGCTGCAATGAGATGTATTAGAGACAGAAAAAATGTATTTTGCCTTATGAAAGGGTTCATCTAAATAATACTCTGCAATCTTCTGGAGAATTGGTGGAGTTTTGTCACGTATCATCCACTTAATTCTTTTATTCTAAGATGCAAGAATGTGAGAGCTGTCATTAAGGGACTCTTTCATACATTAAGTACATACTCGAAATGGTAGAAGTAATGTTCATGAAAAGTGGCAAATTAAGTCTCTAAGACTGACAATCTTATTTGTCCACAGGACAAATATAACATGGACAGCAACAGTTTAGACTTCCCTCAGACGAGTACAGCCTGCCTCAGTCCTGACTTGGACTGATCACCTCTAGGGGTGACATTGAAGGTAGTTCACTAGCCGTATTGATTCAATCCCTGGCCTCCCTGCTCTGAGTCCTCCTGAGAGCTGCAGTCTTTAAAGTACAAAGTGGTGGGGGAAGTTCCTTTCCCCTTCTTCCCCATTGTGCACCTGCATAAGGGCCATGGTCAATTTGACCCTAAATGCTTATCCTACCTACAAAGTGCAGCCCCCATATATTTTGGGGGACCAATACATTTTTCACAAAAGCTCACTGATCCAAGCACCCAGATACTAAGGAGATGAACACAGTAGAAATGTCTAGGTAGATAAGAGATTCTCTGTCTATCCAAGCAGACACTGTATTAAAACAGTGTCATCCAGTATACTGTATCTTCATATTAAACAGTATATGGAAAAGAAAAGGGATATTGTGCTCTATAGTTAATGTAACAGACAGCACCCTATTTGGCTAAGGCATTCTCATTAGAGTAGAGAAAGACTAGATTGTGTTATGGTAGTAGGGACTGATTCAGTTAGAAAAGACAAATACAGCAGTTTTGAGTGGATTCTAACAACAAGCATAGTACACAGGGAAGACCACTCTGGATTCTAAGATTCAACTGTCCCATCAGCTAGAGCTGGCTGAATAACAGAAACATTTCTATTCATTTGAATTTTCAGATGAATTTGCCTTACCCCTATTTACACCTCAGTTTGTGTTCATATTCCCCTCCGAACTAGCAAGCATGTTTACCTGCAGAAATTGTCAAGGAAATGGTACATGCTAAGAAATTTAATGTTGGACTCCTATACACAAGTAGTCTCACCAGATCCCTGCGTCTGTGAGTGTAAGTCATAGAATCAGGTAACAAAAATACCACATGCCCCTGTGTGTCCAAGAAAAAAAGCTAACCAATGCATCTAAAATTGTGAATTTCACATAGCAAATACTCAAGATGACCTGCTTGCAAACAGACAATCTACCGATGAAGAAAATCACAGAAGTAATTTGGCAAAAAGATTCAATTAGTAAATACATTTGAAAACAAATCACAAGATAGTTTCAGACAATTCGTAAACAGAAAGCAGGCTAACTTCATGGAATACCTTATTGGTTCAGATCTAGAAACAGCATACCATTTTACGAATAAGAATGCCCTTCTTATTCTTATAACATATGTTTCTCACTGCCAGGGCACCTAAAACATAATGGTCCTAATCCTGAAATGTTTGGACTTTTCACCCACCATGTATCTCCTCCTATGCTTCTATACTGCTGTTTAAATTTGTAGACATTGCTTTCTTTATAGCAATGAGAACAATGCTTCATGATGCTCTCTTACTATTCAATGCTGTATGGCAGTTGCTTTGCTTTAGGCCCTAGCTCTTACCTACATCTGTGCTTACTGGAGTGAGACTTTAATTTGCTACACCATGCCAGAGTATTAATAGACAATTATTTATTGCAAATCTGAACCATTTATACTGTTTACTGGCTGACACAATGTAAAATTTTGATCCAAATGTTAATGTGTCCATGACATTGCATAATTCTGTTCCATGCCAACGTTTTTTCTCTTCTAAATGAATCAAACTTGCAGTATGAGGAAATAGAGTTTTTAAATGGATGACTGATTTACAGTCTCAAACTTAAAACTGCTTATTTGTACAACTAAGAGTGAATTGACCAATTAAAATAAAGCATATTAGAAAAATATAGGATTTTACTGGGAGCAAAATTACTGTATAGGAAGAAAATGGAAATAACTTGCAAAGTACTTAAAGGGTAACTGAATAAATCTTACTATAGGCATTCTAGGGCAATTGTATTTTTTTTAGCATGTACCTTTGAGGCCAAGCAAACTTATAAATATTCAATTAAGTGGCGCACAGATAAAAATTACCTCTTCATAAAGAACCATATGGATAGAAAAGCACTTCCAGTTCTCCAAATGTTTTCTGAAATTATCTATACAAATGTATTCTGCAGTAGAAAAAAAAGACTTTATAGTTATGCGATTTTCATTAAAAACCCCGTAATTTTGAGTGTTTACATCTCTTTAGTCTTGGATGCCATGCTTGTAACATTCCAAGAGAAGTGGATTCTTCTTTAATGGACACTTGCATGAATTTTCAAAATAGAAAAGTGTGTTTGAGCAAAACTTGTTTTTCTAGAGATCTTGCCTTTCAGGCATTTTATATTGATCCATTCTCTTCTGTTAATTTTTTCTAGCTTTACCAGCAGAGAGATTGTTAAGCTAGAAGTACCATAATACAGTTCCAAGTCTTACAGAATGATAGTCAAATAGTAATATTCAAAGTCAGTCTTCAACCCATTAGTACAAGTAATCCAAAATTAAGACTTATGGTATTGAAGTTTATGTGGGCATGGTTCCTTTGGATGCCTATACCAGATATGATAAAAAGTCATTTAGGATAAGAGTTTCAGCTGTAAAACTGACCTAAAATTAACCAAGACCATTTCATTTACTCTAGAAAAATGCCCTTACTAACCTAGCTAAAAACTTGATTGTGCAAACAACAAGACTGACCTATTTGTCCATTTTTCTCTGTTTCCCCCAAAGTTGCACTGGCCAACTCCATGGTGAAACCCCAGAAGGTATTGTTCTGTCATATCATGCATACCAATCAAATACTTTTCAGGTATGAAACCAGCACACTGAGTTAGAATGAGTAGCATTTTTTTTAATTATATGGCATAGTTATGTGGTAGGCTCCAGCTGTGCTACCCTGAGAGCAGTGATACCAGAGAAAGATGCATTCCGGGGCATCACAGCAGAGTGAAACCAGCTGGTGCAGCTTCATGAACTACATAAAAAGAGGAAAGAGGCATTCAGCATATAGGTCTGAAGTACATGAAAAAAATCAATGAAAGTAGGAGCATGGCCTTTAATTGCAAGTCATTTTTAATTGCTGCATTCATAATTTTTGTGGACATACATCAGCCTGAAGGTAGGATATACAGTGGTTTACTTT